CAATAATAATAAAAGGTAAAGGTCAATTTTGCGAATGAAAGAAAATCACGTTTACCTGTTGGTCGATTGTTAAAATGGGAAATAATTCACATGATACCATCACGCATAACTTCCCTCCTGTTACAAAAAAAAAAATAATAATAATAATTCTCCCAATTTCGCTTTTACAGGAACACCAGTGCATTTTTCATCAACATTGAACAGAAACATTTTAACGACCCTCACACCAGTTGACAAAGAATATTTCTCATCGAAGGGGAAATAACAGAGCAAATTTTTGCCAAAAATTCATTTTTAATCGCTTTTGCATTCTTTTATAGGCTTAAATATTTATAGCGAATTAATCTAATTAACACAATAGATAATAATTTTGAATTCATTCAAAATAAACTAATAGTAATTAATACATGATTTTAAAGTTTTTAATTACTAATAATTAAATGATTATTAAAAATATTCAAAACTGAACAGACAGTGATAAATGAAATAGTTTTTTATTTACTATATTTCAAGAAATAATTTGAAGAATCACTTCTGCTTTTCTCTTTTTATCATTGTGAGAATTGGGTCGTTATTATATATTTCTGTAGTTATCTTGTCACGAATATCACGAGGGTTGTTCAAACCCTAATAAATAATTAATGAACCAAGGAGGAAGATTAGATTCGAGGCATTGCATTTATAGAACTTGAAAGCTTGGGCGGCTATACGAGATAAGTTCCACTATCAATTAGTATATTACTTTTTGGCTAAAAATTAGTCAAGTCGTTTACTAACTCATAAACATGTAATTACTGACTTTTTTCAGTCTAAAAATTACTAAATCTAATTTTAATAATAAAATAATAATAATAATAATAATAATAATAAAAAATAGTAAAAGCAAAAATAAAGGAAATTTAATTCACCTGTTCGAAATAATCCTACTACGCGAGAAAATTAATCAACAAACACATTATTTAGAGGTAATTTAATTTCCGAAAAATTTTCCCATTTCTATATCGTATGAATTAAATTTCAAAAAACAAAAAGCAGAGAGCAGACTGATAAAATATTTACTAGTTTCAAAAAGTTATTATCGTACACACAGTGTAAATAATGACATAATTCTGTTGGTATTTTAGAGCGATAATATTTATAACATATAAAATAATCATGACATTAGAGGGAAAAGATAAATTTGGATTGTGAAATCACGCATGGTTGCGTGAAAAAGGAGAGAGAGAGAGGGAGGGAGGGAGGGAGGGAGTAATAAATATAGAGAGAGGGAGATGGAACACGCGATAGGTAAATGACGACTGCAACAACTCGTGAATGATTTCCAATGAGATTCAAAACAAGTGATGCTGTTAATGGGGTATTTGACGTCAACGCGTTTAATTTAAGCACAAAATGATGTACGGCGGTTCATTCGCGGTCGTCACGCGCAAACAAGTACAAAAGGGACCTGTTAAAAGGGTAAACTTGAGGTGTGTAATTCAAATACACTCAGACCCTTGAAATTAAATAAAATCCGAGACAGAAATTATTCACTTTTAAATTTAAAATTTTTCACTCGGCAATTTTTAGAAAAAATACTTTCTAATCTATTTTTTTTATTCCCTTTACACACTAATTTGTTGCCAAAAAAATTTAATTTTGCCTTTCCCTGACTAATGATTATTCTAATATTCAATTATTATCTACAACTTTAACTGAAATTAAATTTTAAAATTTTAAATCTATTTTTATTAGAAAAAATTCAACAACCAGGGTTTCTACAAATTTCTCCTTATGAAATTCCATGATTTTGGCATAATTTCTAGGTGATAAAAAATGATAAAATTTCCATGACACATTAAAAAAAAAAATTTTGGCAGTTAAGTCAGGTAAATGTCATGGAAAAAATTTTTTGTTAGGGAAGTTAAGAAAATTGAGAATTTTTCGACTTATTTTCAAAAATTGCGACTTTTTCGACTATTCTTCCAAACTTTGCAACAAAATACCACAATTTTAAGTAAAAAAGTGTAACTTATTTTGATTTTTATAATGCAAAAAATAACTATAAACAAATCTTTCAAAAAATTTTTTTTTTGAATAATTAAAATTTTGTAAAATTTAATTGAAAATAATTAATTTATTTCAAGTATTTTGTTACAATTTTTGAAAATCAACTTTTGAAGAATTTTAATTGCAAATTTTGAAAATAATTGAATTATCAAGAATTTTAATGAAAAATCTTTAAAGATACATTTAAAAATGAAAATAAGCTTCTAATTTTTTTAAGTTCAATATTTTTAATATTTTCAATTACATATTTCCAAAAATAATAACATTTTAGAATTATTTTTAACATTTTGGAGAAAACAATAATATTCAAAATTTTTAATTAAAATTCATCATAAAATTCGTTAGTTTTTTAAATTATACAAAAATTCTTTTAAAAAATACAATTATTTTCAAAAAATTACATTAATAAAATTAACTATAATAATTTGAATGTTCTTTCATTCATTCACTTTTTCCGTCCCTCACATTCTGAAATTGTCTTTTGTTTATACTTTTGTTTTTTGTTAACTTTAGCTGGATTGTATATTATATATTATTGTTATAATTATTATTATGTTAAAATTATTTTTATTTATAATTAATTCAAAATTGTAATGACAAATAGAAATAATCAGAATTTTTTTCACTTCTTTTCATTAAAAGACTAAAATTTTGTTAAATATTATGTTTTGTCAAATTTAAATTATGCAGATTTTTGTTCTTTACTTTTAAACAAAATTAGAAAATTGTTAAACAACTGTGATTAAGAAATAGAAAATTTATTTATTTTGCATTATTTTTGTTTATGAATCACAATTTTTTTAACAAAATTATAATTTTGTTTTAGAAAAGGAAGAAAAATATTTGCACAATTTCTATTTTTAATCTTATTTCTGGAACTGGATTTTCTCCACAGGAATTAAGACATTCAAAAATTTTAAATTCAAACCTTTTTTAAATTAAACAACTTATTAAAGTATTTGTTAAAAAAATGACCGAGAGATGAAATAATTATTTTTTATTATAAGAATATTGTTACCGTAACTTTATCAAAATTATTTTCATCATTTTAATTCAATTATTATTTTCTAGAATTTTAAATTATTTTTTATGAAAATAATTGGATTCCTGTGAAATTTTTATTATTTATAAAAATAATTAAATGGTTGCATATAATTTTATTAAATTTTTTTTTAAATAATTGAATTCTTTTTGGGAAATTTTAGTAAAATAGTAGATGTTGAAAATAATTGAATTTAGAAAATTTTTTTGAAAATAATTGAAATTAGGACAAGAATTTTGTTATTTATGAAGATAATTGGGATTTTTAAGAGAATTTTTTTCAAATTTTGAACAAAGTTGAATTTTATAAGAAGAATTTTTTTTTTTTTTTTTGAAAATAATTGAATTTCTGCAATTATTTGTAATTTCTCCAAAACTGAATTTTTTTAATGTTTTTAACAAAAATTTAAATTAGAAAATTTTTAAATTCTATTGTTTTCAAAAACTAATTATTAGAATTGTTTTGTAATAATTTTTTAAGAATCAAAATTTACTTTTTAGACTTATTAAAATTTTTGAGAAATTATGGTCCTGTTTATAATTAAAATTCTTCAAAAATTTGATAATTTGTATTTATTCTTTAAAAAATTCAATTATTTTTAAAAGATTTTACCAAATTTTAATTGTTTGGAAATTTTTCAAAATTGAAAAACTATTATCGTTCAAAAATTATTTTAAAATATTTAAAAAAAATTAATGGAAGAATTTCTTTATTATAATTTTTTGAAAGTAATAAATATATATTGTTAAGGAAATTGATAAATTGAAACTTATGACCACCCTGAGTGATAAAGGAGCGCGAATTTCAATCATACGGGTTTACAACAAAAACTAATAAAATTTCATGATCCGATTAGAAATTCCATGAGATTTTCATGATTCCATGAAAAAAAAAATTTTTCAGATATTTATTAAATTGTTTTTTAATTAAAAGATTCTAAATTCATGCCACAATGATTTACATCGCAATTTTCGTCGCGAAAAAACGTGAGGAGTATTATAAAAATATTTTCTAAAAAAAAATGAATAAAAACTTTTTCTCGGGGAATATTTTAAATTCGTAATGTTCATTTAAACGCTTAATATAGTTTTTTATGTGCGTAAGATGCGTGGAAATTGTGTGGCTTGATTGAAAAATCCAGTGATGGAGGGTGGAAGTGGTTTCATGAATTAAGCATGTGACCTGCTGAGACATTTTCCCTCTCTTCGAGAGAGTAAGAGAGAGACAGAAAACCAGTTAACAGAATATTTATAAAACTATTTTTACTCACTGATATCGTTATTACACACAAAACTATAACGCAATTTTTTTTTTTTTTTTTTTTTTTTTTTTTTTTTACTGAGAAATATTTCTCTTTACTGTCAACTATCATTATTATTTTCTGGCGAACGCATTCATTGATCTTAAATATTTATCGCAGAAAAACAGTTGAAAAACTATTAAAAATTATTTAATGGATAATTTTACTTAAATATTTTAAAAATTAATCGTCACTTACGGAGTTAATAATTAATGCTAATAGCAAAGTTATTATGATCCACAAGTTTTGAACGTTCAAATGAACGAAACACTTTTTATTAGAAATGTTTTTATAATTTATTGTTTGCAATAAAAATTAAAAACTTAAATTTTACACTTAGAAACTTTATAATTAATTTATTTTATATCGACAAAAAATTATTGTAATAAATATTTAAATTAAAGAAGAAAATAAATAAATTTCGTTTATTTGAACGTTCAGAACTTTAGGATCGCAAGTTATTTTAATCTTAAAAGCAGAAAAAATCAAAAATATTCTTAATGACCAGTTTTTAAAATTTTAAATCGAGAAACTAATTAAGATTCTAAATTCAAAAATTATAACCAAAATTTAAAATAAAATCAAAAATGTATTCAGAAAATTACTCACGAGGCTTTGTTGTTTCAATCGGCGGCACTTCGGTCAACTGAAAACGAAAATACAAAAAGTTTAATTAATCATCATTATTATCATCAGCATCATCATCAAAAAAATGAAACTTATTCTTTAAAGTATCCTTTTTTTTAATATGAGAAAAAAAACGAGAGTAAATATTCAGTCACAGTTTTAAGAGAATACTCTTTTTTTTCCCTCGAAATCGACATTATTCTTTCAAGTGGATGGAGAATTGAACAATTTCTATGCAGAAACTCGAAACTCTGCTTGTGTTTTCAACCTTGAAGTTGTGCATGCAACTTTCGAGGATCAAAAACCAAAGTTTTACGTTTGATGGATAATGCCTGATGCAGATGCAAACTATCCGCTCTATTCAGAGCATAATCCACTGTTTACCACAAATTTCCTTCTTCAAACGAATTTATGACGATAAACTTTGTACAAAATATTTAATATAATTCGCCAAAGACTTGTTTTACTTCCGTCTCGCAAATGTTTAAATCGTCGACAAGAGGAGAGGCGCAACTTTAATGCACGGCAAGTAATTAAATCTAATGGCGAAATTATTTTAATCTTAGAAAGTACTATGATCCCCAAGTTTTGAACGTTCAAATGAGCGAAATATTTTTTATTGAAGACATTTTTATAAATTACTAATCACAAAAAATTTAAAAACTAAAATATTTACGGTTAAAAACTCAGTTATTAATTTTTTGGATAGTGACGCAAAATAATTGCAATAAAAATTTAATTTGTAGAAGAAATAAATAAATTTCGTTCATTTGAACGTTCAGAACTTTAGGATCTTAAAGTACTAAACTTAAGTGCGCTGATCTTAAATATATGGACTAACCGTAAATGTTGTAACTTTACGAGTACTAATCTTAAATGTAGTTAGTTTAAAACAACTAATCTTAAAAGTAAAAACTAAAAACTAAACTTTGGAGTACTTTAAAATAATAACCATCAAAGTTTAGTACTTTAAAGTACAGTACTCCAAAGTTTAGTACTTTAAAATAATAACCATCAAAGTTTAGTACTTTAAAGTATTAAACTTTAAAGGGTTTAAGTTTAAAGTAGGTACTAAACTTTAAAAGGTTAAATTTTAAAATACTAAACTTTAAAGGGCTAAAGTTTAAATTACTAAACTTTAAAGGGTTAAGATTTAAATTACTAAACTTTAGAAGATTATATTTTAAAGCACTAAACTTTAAAGTACTAATGTTAAAATACTAAATCTTAAACTTACTAAATATAGTAAAAATTAAGACAAAGTACCGAAAGTACTAAAAACCACAATAAAGTAACTAAAGTACCAAACTTAAAAGTGCTAAACTGCAAAGCACAAGACTAAAGTTCTGCAGAATATGATTTTTTTTTTATTTTAGGATTCAATATCTTCGATTTTTGAAAATTGTACAATTTAATCATCTTGTTAGCTCCGTTCGATAATTTCTATACAAATATTTTCTCAAACATAAAAATATTTAATTTCTTTGATAAATGTTTCCATTCTTTCTGCTCGTGGACACGTTTTCTGCACTTTGTTTTCTCTTTTTTTCAATTTTTTTTTTTTTTAGCAAATATCCTCGGAAACATTTTAGTCTTTTAATATCCCCTGAATTATTTCATGCTCCTTATTACTTTTTCCCCGTACATTTTAAAATCCCTCTGGGTTTAAAGTGGTAGAGGAACAAATATATATAAACGAACAATTTTTTTCCGTTTCTCTTTTTAAATCAACGAAAGCATCTTTCTTATGCAAAAATACAGAAAAAAGTTTTTCCTCTATTTCGTAAAATTTCTTTGTGATTTGCGAGAGTCTTTTTTTTTGTTTTTGCAGGTCATGAAATTATTTTCCCTCCTAAAAGGTTTAATTAAGTTATGTATACCCTTTGATAAGTTTAAGTACATTGAAGTTACAGTGAACTTGAGGCTTGAAGGTATATTAATATTTTATGAGAATTTATGGTTTGAGTGTATTTTAAAGTTGAGTAGATTTAAGGTTTATGGGAATATTTAAGTTAAAAGTGTATTTGCGGTCTAAGGATAGTTGAGATTTAAATAATTTTACCTAACATGAAAGTGACTTTAACTAATAATTAGTTATTATTGACTAATAATAACAAAAATATTGCTAAGTAAAATATTGCTATTTGAATCAGTGACTGAATTTTTACTATCAAATAATGTAAAATTATTAATTAAATTTTCTTTTTTTTAATATCGCGCCTAAAAGTTCCAAAAAATTAATTAACAAATTTTTAAATAATTATTTGAAAATAATTGAATTCCTGTTAAGAATTTTATGTTTTGAAAGTAATTGAATTCTTACGAAGAATTTTATTAATATTTTTAAATAATTAAATTTCTGTGATGAATTCAATTATTTTTTGAAAATAATTTAATTCCTGGGAAGAATTTTATTAAAAGTTTTTAAATAATTGAATTTCTGCAAAGAATTTCAGTTTTTAAAAATATTTTAATTTCTACCAAGAATTTTATTAAATGTTTTAAAAATAATTGAACTTTTGCGAAGAATTTTATTAAAAATTTTGAAAATAATTGAATTCTGACGAAGAATTTTATTAATATTTTTCAAGAATTGAATTCCTGTGATGAGTTCAATTATGTTTTGAAAATAATTGAATTTTTACGAAGAATTTTATTAAAAGTTTTGAAAATAATTGAATTCTTACGAGGAAATTTATTAATATTTTTGAAGAATTGAATTCCTGTGATGAATTCAATTATTTTTAGAAAATAATTTAATTTCTGGGAAGAATTTTATGAAGAGTTTCTAAATAATTGAATTCCTGCTAAGAATATTAATACTTTTTAAAAATAATTGAATTCCTATAAAGAATTTTATTAACTTTTAAAAATAATTGAATTCCTGCGAAGAATATTATTAAAATTTTTGAGAATAATTGAATTTTTGAGAAGATTTTTAATAAAAGTTTTGATGATAATTGAACTCTTACGAAGAATTTTATTAATATTTTTAAATAATTGAATTCCTGGGACGAATTAAATTACTTTTTATAAATAATTTAATTTGCGAGAAGAATTTTATAAAGATTTTTAAAATAATTGAATTCCTATAAAAAATTTTATTAACTTGTAAAAATAATTGAATTCCTGCTAAGAATTTTATTATTTTTTGAAAATAATTGAATTCCTGTGAATAATTTTATTAACTTTTTCAAATAATTAAATTTCTGCGAGGAATATTATTAAAATTTTTGAAAATAATTGAAATCTTGAGAAGAATTTTAATAAAATTTTGATGAATTAGTTTTTGAGGAATAATTGAAATTCTGCTTGAGTTTTATTATTTATGAAAATAATTGAATTTTTACGAAGAAATTTATAAAAAAAATTTGTAAATTATTGAATTCCTGTGAAATTTTTATTATTTATGAAAATAATAAATTAAATGTTTGCGTAGAATGTTCACAAATTTCTTTTAAATAATTGAATTCTTTAGAAAATTTTATTAAAATAGTAGATATTTAATGTCATTGAATTGAAGAAATTTTTTTAAAATATAATTGAAATTTTGACAAGAATTTTATTAAAATTTTTGAAAATAATAATTGAAATTTTGCCAAGAATTTTATTAAAATTTTTGAAAATAATTGAATTTAATGCAATCATTTGTAAATTCTCTAAAATTCCATTTTTTTTTAGCGTTTCTAACTAAAATTATTCGGTAAATCTATTATTGTTAATAATTATTATTATAGAAAAAAATTTATATTGATAACTTCTACCTTTCATTAATTATTATTATTAATTATTAAATTCAAAAGCAAAAAGTCAGTCACAAAAATTAGTAAACATTTTTACTATTTCAAATACAAGAGTACTTGTAGAAACAAAATAGAAAAAAAAATCCATACAACTTTTCCGCCTGGGGTGAAAAACTTTCGTTTTTTTTATTACTAATCGAACGAATTAATAAAATTAACATTAATCCAACTAAAATAAAAGTAAATTAAATTAAACGAATTAAAAAAGTTTTTGGCATTTTGCCATATGTTTCTTTAAAGTTTTTCCTTCTCCAAAGGCGACAAGAGAAGAATTTTATTTACGTCTGCGAGTCCGAGGAGGTGCGAGAGATGAAATTAACCCACATTTTACGAGATAATGATTTCCGAGAATGCAGAAAGGGGAAGTTGTACAACAGAAGAGAGAAAAAATTTAGAGTAAAATATCAGTATAGTCCTCTCGTATGTTTTCACCCCGTTTCACTTTATATAAACTCGTGTGTTGTGTGTATATAAGTATATATGAAGAAAGAATGAAACATTCTCGCGGTTGTTTCTTGACACAACGCCAAGTGGCACGAGACTTCTTAGTGCCAAAGCGTATCGGGCAATTTGAATTCCCCCGGTGTTTATATACCGTGTACGCAAGCATGAAAGGAATGAATCGAAAGAGCACCCAGCTCTCAAGATTTCCAATTGGCAATGAAATCCACTCAATGGAAAATTGAAGAGACCCTTTAATCAGAGTGAGACCTGTTTCTAATTTACGCACAGTCATTCATCCACCTCTCTGAATTTCAATTCAAAAATTCTTTGATTCAGTAATCAAAAATCGAGGAAGAACCAGAAAATTCTTTCATTTTACCTTTTGCCGAAAATTTTGCTCCTTTTTTAAGGATTCTACTATTAATTCTGCTACTAATTGTACTATTAATTTTACTGTTACTGTTAATTTAACTATTAATATTCAACTACTGATTTTACTACTAATTTTGCTATTAATTTATTTTACTATTAATTAACTACTCTTTAAATCTGAATTAGTGCGGATTCGTTTACCAATTTGAATTAGTAACATTTTTTACTAATTTCTAGTAGTTTTTTACTAATTGCTAGTAGAAAATTACTAATTCAATTAGTAAGAACGTATTTTTTACTATTTCAAATTAGTAAATTTTCTACTACTAATTAGTAAAAAACTACTAAAAATTAGTAAAAACAGTTACTAATTCAATTGGTAAATGAATCCGCACTATTTCATAAGTAGAAAACTACTAATTCAGATTTAGAGAGTGTATCTTTCATTCATTCTGTCCGCAATTTAAAGTTAGTTTCTCTGTATGCTTTTGATTTTTTTTCTTTAAAAAATATTGTTTGACAAATCGAAAATACGCAGGTATTTTTTTACGATTAATATACTAAAAAATATTAGAATTTAGAAAATTTGAAAAAAATTAGGATTAACAAATAAAAAATATATCCATTTTGTTTGTCATATGCTTTTTTCTATAATAAATTTCGTTTGATTGATCTAAATTATTATGCAAATTATTCTCCTTTTTATTTATAAAAAATACTAGAAAATTGTTAATTATTAAAAAATTTTTATTAAGAAGTAGGAAATATACCCATTTTATGCATAATTTTTATTTCTCAATAACAATATTGTTTACAAACTCATTTTTTTCTTTTGGGAAGAAAAATAATAGATATTCACATTTCTTAATATTTTTGTAGAAAATTCTCAATTTTCATAAGGAAATAATTTGCATCAATTCTATTTAATAATTTCAATTGTTTTAATAAAATTCAAAGTTTTTTAAAAATAAAGGAAAAAAATGTTTATAAATTATATTTGTCAGTTAGAAAATTTAATTGAAAATGAAACCAAATCTTATGAAATTTTTAAAAAAGAAAGGAAAAATTTTATTGAAAAATATGTTCTGTTAAATTTATTTACGAATAAATTTAATTGTAAAATTATTCGAAAACAATAATTTCTTTTTTAAGTATTTTAAATATTTAATTATTATTATTTTCCCGCAGGAATTCAAATTCTTCAAAAAAATTCAAATTCAAACCTTTTTGAAATTAATCAACTTTAAAAATATATTGTAATAAAACATGAAGAAAACGATTACTCGATCGATTTCTTCATGTTTTATAATAATTAATAATTAACGAGTGATAAAATCATTATTTTATATTATGAGAATATTTTTACTGTAACTTCTTCAAAATTATTCTCATCATTTCAATTCAATTATTATTTTCTACAATTTTTAATTAAAATTCTTCTTTAAATCAATTATTTGTGAAAATTCACGCAATAATTGTTTTAATATTTAATCATCTAAAATTTAAACTAAAATTCAGTTTTAAATCAATGTCTATTAGAAAATTCAACAAGAATTCAATTATTTCAATTTAAAAATAAATAATTTATTGGATAACTAAATGTTTCTTAAAATTGAATTTTCATAAAAAATTTTATTAATAAATTTTTAAATCAATAATTCAAATTAATTGAATTCTAGTGAAGAATTGTAATATGTTTTGGAAACAATTGAACTTCAGCGAAAAATTTTATTAAAAGTTTTGAAAATACTTGAATTCTTGCGAAGAATTTTATTAATAATTTTGAAAATAATGGAATACTTACGAAGAATTTTATTAATATTAAAAAAATAATTCAATTCTTGTGAAGAATTCAATTATTTTTGTTAAATAATTCAATTAATGTAAAGAATACAATTAATTTTGGTAAATAATTGAATTCCTGCGAAGAATTTTATAAAGTGTTTCTAAAATATTGAATCCCTGCGAAGAATTGAATTTCTACCAAGAATTTTATTTAATTTTTTGAAAATAATTGAATTCTTACGAAGAATTTTATTAATATTTTAAAATAATTGAATTCCTGTGATGAATTAAATTATTTTTTGTAAATAATTTAATTTCTGAGAAGAATTTTATAAAAGAGTTTTTAAATAATTGAATTTCTACTAAGAATATTAATAATTTTTGAAAATAATTGAATTCCTACAAAGAATTTTATTAACTTTTGAAAATAATTGAATTCTTACGATAAATTTTATTATTTTTTGAAAATAATTTAATTCCTGAGAAGAATTTTATAAAGAGTTTTTAAATAATTGAATTCCTACTAAGAATATTAATAATTTTTGAAAATAATTGAATTCCTATAAAGAATTTTATTAACTTGTAAAAATAATTGAATTCCTGTGAAGAATTTTATTATTTTTTGAAAACAATAATTGAATTCCTGTAAATAATTTTAATAATTTTGGTAAATAATTGAATTCCTGCGAAGAATTTCATTATTTTTTGAAAATAATTGAATTATTGAAAAGAAACTTATGAAAAATTTGTAAATATTTGAATTCATGTGAGATTTTGATTAATTATGAAAATAATTAAATTTTTGTGTACAATTTTATTAAAATTGTTTGTAAATAATTGAATTCTTTTGGGTAATTTTATTAAAATAGTAGATATTGAAAATCATTGAAAATAAGGAAAATTTTTGAAAATAATTGAATTTTGAAGAAGAATTATTATTAATTAATTAATATTGTACTACTAATTTCACTATTAATTGTATAATTAATTTTACTGTTAATTTTACTATTAATATTCTACTACTAATTATACTATTAATTCTGCTATTAATTTTTCTATTAATTTTATTATTAATTTTATTATTGTTTATTATTAATTTTACTATTAATTTCACTATTAAATTTTATTAATCATTTTATACTTCTTGATGTTACTATTAATTAATTACTGTCCGTTACGTCTTATAGTAAATTATCAACATTTACGAATTTATACTGTCAATAAATAGTAATTAACCACCGAGAATATTACTATACTTTATACCTACGTTTTAAACTTTTTAATTCATATTTCCTCATTTTTACTTTCCCTAATTGCAATCTACCTTTTTTTTATTTACTACTCTTTCTAAACGGTCATTTTTCCTCATTTTTTCCTTACGTAATTTTCCTAATGAAATTTATTTCACTCGCAGATTACGACAAATGAAGGAAGGAGCAAAAAAAAAATTGACCTAAACAAATTTTGCAAAAAGAAAAATCACAACAGACTCTCCATAAAAATTTGATTTCATTTCTCCCTGATTTCCAGACAGAATTTTTTTTCCCCGTTTTCCTAAATTCTAAAAAATATTTTCTGATTCACTCTCAAAATCCACTTGCAAGAATAATATTGTGCTAATAACAATAATAATAATAATATCTTTTATTTATATAATTTATGGCTTCCGAAAATATTGGATTAATAATAATAATAATAAAAATAGTAGTAATAATAATAAAAATAAATAATAAAGATCTTAAATAATAAAAATAGTAGTAATAATAAAAATAATAAAAATATTGGTAGTAATAATAATTAATAATAATAAAAATTCCAAGGAAAAAACAGGAAAACAAATTTCCCGATGACAAGATTTGTAATTACAATAAAAAAAAATTCTCACCTTCGCCAAAACAGGATTGAATGTGAATTTCGACTCCACTTCCTTTCGCGGTGTTTGAGGTATGGCTGTCAATGGTGTTACAGCTGACGTCATTTCCTGAAACAAAGAAAAATAAAGTTTTTTTTATTTGTTTTTTTTTTCTAGTGTGACATTCTCCAACAATTTTCTTCAAGAGGGGAAACACGATCCGAGTAAGTCAGACGTACTATCGAGCGAGCGTTGAAATTGGAGGAGTTTGAAGGCAAGGCGAGAATAAGATAGAGATGAAGATATAGTGATAAAGAGAGAAAGCAAAGTTACAAAAAAAAGATAGAAAGAAAAAGAAAACTTACTCTCGAAGGTACTACTTGTTGACTCTGAGGACAATTAATCGTCTTTCGAGTTTAACTCTCGAGATACGTTTGTTTAACCATGGACAAATATTTAGTCGCAAATGATACTCGATATCGCAAAAAAAAACGTCCCAAAGAGTTCATTACCTCTGTATTCCCTTTTTTCCCACCAATTTTTTTGCCCAGTTAAATCAAACAAATTTGCCTCCGGAATTTCTTTCCCAGAGGCAAATTTTGTAAGAAATTATTTATTATTTTATTATTATTATTTTCAATTTTTAATTTTGAATTTATTTTGCGGTATAAAAGAAGTCGTGTGGTCGACTTCATTTTTTTTTTTTTTTTTTGAGGAGGGACCAAAGGGCAAGGAATGAGTAAGGTAAAAATGGCGTCAAGATGAGAATGCTCCAACTATGACTCATCGAGTGTCGAGCTTATAGGTCGTCGTACGCAGACGTCATTTGCTGCATATTTTTTCGCGAATAACGAATCGCGAATATTTTCGGTGCGAGAAAGCATATATCCTTGAAATTATGCAAACAAATATAATACGAAGGCACGTACGCCGCCATTGAGCTCGCACGTTCCAGCAATAAGCGATTCAACATCCAGTTGAAGCATATTATAAAGTTGAGCAAAAGCAGAAAAGAAAAAAAACCCATTAATCCCCCTGCATATTAAGAATTCAAAATTTTAAAAACGAAAATCGAGGAACAAAAAGGGGGGGAAAATTATCAAGATAAAAAATTGCAGGGAGAAGATGTTCGAATTAAAAAAAAAAAATTCAAAAAACGAATATTCGACAAAAGAATTAAAAAAAGAACTCTTTTTTGAATTTAAAAAAGGAAAGTTCGCAAAAAGAATTTTAAAAAAGAACTCTTTTTTGAATTCAAAAGCGAATTTAAAAAAGAATTTTAAAAAAGAATTCAAAAAAAAAACTTTTTTTTAATTCAAAAAAGAAATTTAAAAAGAATTCAAAAAGAACTCTTTTTTTAAATCAAAAAAGAATTTAATAAAGAATTCAAAAAAAAAATTTAAAAAGAATTAAAAAAAAGAATGTTCGCAAAAAGAATTTTTTAAAAGAACTCTTTTTTGAATTCAAAAAAGAATTCAAAAAATAAATTTATAAAGAATTCAAAAAAGAACTCTTTTTTGAATTCAAAAAAGAATTTAAAAAGGAATTCAAAAAAGAAATTTATAAAGAATTTAAAAAAGAACTCTTTTTTGAATTCAAAAAAGTAATTAAAAAAGGAAAGTTCAAAAAAAGAATTTTAAAAAAAATTCAAAGAAGAATTTAAAAAAGAACTCTTTTTTGAATTCAAAAAAGTATTTAAAAAAGGAATGTTCGAAAAAAGAATTCAAAAAAGATTTTTTTTTAAAAATTCTTTTTTTCGAACAAGAAAAAAAAAAAAACTTTTTCCTTTCTTTTTAAGAAAGGAATGTTCGAGAAAAGAATTCAAAAAAGAATTAAAAAAAGAATTAAAAAAAGAACCCTTTTTTGGATGCAAAAAAGTATTTAAAAAAGGAATGTTTGAATAAAGAATTTTATTTATTTATTTTATTTAATATTTGAATTCGAAAAAATAATTCAAAAAAGAAAAGAAAAAAGAATTCAATAAAGGACTCTTTTTTGAATTTTAAAAAGAATTTAAAAAGAATTCATAGAACTCTTTTTCGAATTAAAAAAGAATTCAAAAAAGAACTCTTTTTCGAATTAAAAAAGAATTTTAAAAAGAATTCAAAAAAGAACTCTTTTTTGAAATCAAAAAAGTATTTAAAAAAGGAATGTTCGAAAAAAGAAATAATAAAAGAATTAAAAAACGGACCCTTTTCTTTAATTCAAAAAAGTATTTAAAAAACGAATGTTAGAGAAAAGAATTCAAAAAAGAATTAAAAAAGGACCTTTTTTTGGATTAAAAAAAGTATTTTAAAAAAGAATTCAAAAAAGGAATGTTCGAATAAAGAATTCAAAAAAAGGATCCAAAAAAGAAAAAAAAAAAGAATTCAAAAAAGGAATTTTCGAAAAAAAGAATTTTTAAAAAAAAATCTTTTTTGAATTTAAAAAAGAATTTGAAAAAAAACTCTTTTTTTATTTCAACAAAGAATTCAAGAAAGTATTTAAAAAAGGAATAAAGAATTCGAATAAAGAATTCGAAAAAAGAATTCAAAAAGAATTAAAAAAAGAACTCTTTTTTGAATTCAAAAAAGTATTTAAAAAAGAAATGTTCGAAGAAAAAACTCTTTTTTGAATTCAAAAAAGGACTCTTTTTTGAATTTTAAAAAGAATTTAAAAAGAATTCATAGAACTCTTTTTCGAATTAAAAAAGAATTTTAAAAAGAATTCAAAAAAGAACTCTTTTTCGAATTAAAAAAGAATTTTAAAAAGAATTCAAAAAGAACTCTTTTTTGAATTCAAAAAAGTATTTAAAAAAGGAATGTTCGAAAAAAGAAATCATAAAAGAATTCAAAAAGGGACCCTTTTCTTTAATTCAAAAAAGTATTTAAAAAACGAATGTTAGAGAAAAGAATTCAAAAAAGAAAAAAAAAAGAATTCAAAAAAGGAATGTTCGAAAAAAAAAATCTAAAAAAAAAAATCTTTTTTGAATTTAAAAAAGAATTTGAAAAAAAACTCTTTTTTTATTTCAACAAAGAATTCAAGAAAGTATTTAAAAAAGGAATAAAGAATTCGAAAAAAGAATTCAAAAAGAATTAAAAAAAGAACTCTTTTTTGAATTCAAAAAAGTATTTAAAAAAGAAATGTTCGAAGAAAAAACTCTTTTTTGAATTTAAAAAAGGAATGTAGGAAGAAAGAACTCTTTTTTGAATTCAAAAAAGGAATGTCCAAAAAAAAGAACTCTTTTTTGAATTCAAAAAAGGAATATTCAGAAAAAGAATTCAAAAAAGAAATGTTAAAAAAACTATTTAAAAAAAGAATGTTCAAAAAAATAATTTGAAAAAAGAATTCAAAACAGAATTTAAAAAAAGAACTCTTTTTTGATTTCAAAAAATAGTTCACAAAGGAATGTTCGAAAAAAGAATTCAAAAAATAATTCACAAAGGAATGTTCGAAAAAAGAATTCAAAAAAGGAATGTTTGAAAAAAGAATTCATAAAAAGAATGTTCGAAAAAAGAATTCGAAAAAGAATTCAAAAAAGAAATAAAAAAAGAAATCAAAAAATAATTCAAGAAAGAATTTAGAAAAGAAATCATGATATTTATATTCACTAGGATCAATATTACAAGTAAAAAAATCTAGTACCAAAGGAATAAAAAATATCCCTCCCCAATAAAAAATACAAGCAGAAAATAAAAAGAATAAAACGATATTAAAAAACAGTATAAAGAAAGAAACTCGAAATGAAAATTCCCTATCGCGAATTAGTTATGCAAATAGCGTTTGCAAATTCAAACGTCAATAGAGTTTATATAGAGAGCAAGGGAATAAAGTTCATTGCGAGCAATATAGTCTGGGTGTATAAATTGTTTTGAATCTCGAGAGTTATTTCCTCCATCGAGTAAGATGATTGGTGAGAGAGAGGACATTTCACGACTGATCATCAAACGTAAAATAGACACATTTCTCATAAAAAGGAAGAATCTCCAGCTGCTCTCACATATATACAGATAACACTGAGATGAGAGAGAGAATCGAAATATCTTCCGATTTGAAAAATGCTATATCGACTTTCTACCGAGGATGAGGTGCGGAAAAAAAAGTGTCGGGTGAGAACTTGAGAAGTGAACGTGACTGTCACTCAAGATGCAGAAAAAGTACTTGAGAGTCAATGGAACCGGAAATCGGAAGTGAAAAGAAGGAGATTCTTTCTTTTTATTCACACCACTGCTGGGAAAAAGTGATAATGTCACATTATTCAATATCGAAATACTTTACATGTCATTTAACTGCTAAGTCACTTCTGCTTGCTTTTGCTCCATCTTCGGGAAAATTAGAGCAATTATATTGTTCAATTATTTTAATTTTTCAACTAGAAATTGTTATTTTCGAATTAACAACTAATTTTTAAACTAAATATTAATTTTTGACATAAATGTTGTAAGTTTTTAACTAAGAGTTGTGATTTTCTGAGTAATTATGATTTTCAAAGTAAAAATTATCATTTTCGAGTTAACTATAATTTTGAATTTGATAATTATTATTTTCAAACTAATCGTAATTTTTAAGCTAAGAATTATAATTTTAAAATTAAACATTACAATGTTTAATTTTTTAATTACAATTACATAATTGTAATTTTCAAATATATAGTTACAATTCAGAAAACCTGGAAATTATGACTTTCGAACTATTTTCAACATTCGAACTCGTTTTAATTTTAAAATTCTTTATTTACCTAAGAATTATAATTTTTGTGATAAAAAGAATAGTTATAATACTAAAAATAATAATTATAATACTAAAAACAATAATTTTAAAACTAAAAATTAAAAATTTTGTAAACTAAATTATAATTTTCCCACCGATTGTAATTTCTAAACTAATAACAATTTTTGAAAATAAAAAATATAGTTTGTAAACTAATTATAATTTGAATACTAGAAATAATAATTTTCCTAATAATTGTAGTTTCTAAACTAAAAATGATAATTTTAAAACTAAAAATTATACTTTTAATACTAAAAGTTATAATTTTGATACTAAAAATTTTTATTTTCCCACTATTTGTAATTTCTAAAAACTAATAACAATTTTTGAAAATAGAAAATATAATTATCAAACTAATTATAATTTTAAAACTAAAAAAT